AAATGTATATAAGTTAGCCATAGTTAAATACATTGGTGTGATTGTTGAGACTGAATTTTATTAACAATTTTTGATATACTTGGTTGAAAGCTAGTTGTTGATATTCTTAAGAGAGATTGCAAGTGTGTATCTGTCATTTTATTTCTTAATTTTGACTTATTTAGATTCATAATAGAAAATGTTTGTTCACATATATGTACTACCAAACATGGTAGCACATCTGCTTGCATTATTTTTTAAGGGCAAAAATTTGGTAGGTAGAGTTTTTTAAAAGCCAAGAATGTCTAAATCACAGAATCTGAATTTGCATAAGTCAGAAGTTTGTAAATCAAGAAGTTCCATTTGAACACCTTCTGGTGCTTCTTGGACTATAACAGAAAATGGTTCCTCAAATAGTTTAAATTTAACCTTATGCAATTAAAAATTTGTAACTCACTTTTCAAATGAAGTAAACAACATCTTTTTTTTTTTTTTTTTATCAATAAAATTTTACTTCAGGTGAGGAAAATTGGCAAAATTTTGACAGACAGGCTCCTTGGAGAACAGCTGGTGTTTGAGTTAAAGTAGGTGCTGCATTCGCCAGTTGACTGATGAATTGTTTTTTCCTATTTTTTTTTTTTTTTTTTTTTTTTTTTTTTTGTATGGGTCATTCAGATGGGCTGTCACATCAACTAAAAATGCTAAGTCTTACTTACTTGAAAGATAGTTTCTATAACATCCTAGTTTTCTTCAGGGAATGGTATTATTTCATAATCAAATTAGAAAGCCTCGTTAAAGCCTCTACATAGCTCAACTACCATACTTCAGAGCAATATATGAGATCACTATGTGGTGCATCTGTGTGGATTTCCTTAAATCACCTGTGGTTTAAACCATGTGAGCAAATAAAATTGATTATATCACTCACAACCTTCATTAGGCGGTCAAATTTTAGTTCTTTTGCAGACAGCTGTTCTTAGTATATGATAAAGTGATACCTAAGCAAATCCTTGCCTCACTCGTCCAAATGGTTTCTCAGTAGACCAGGGTTGCCACACTACCTGGAAAACCGGTAAACGTCTAAAATTGACTAAAAAAGTCAGGGAATTTAAATATTTTAGTTAAAATATGGAAAAGTCAGGGAACTTCATATGGCGATCCCTAATAAAGTGTTTTTTACACCAATGTGGGAAGTGATCACTTTCTTGGCAAATTATGTATCGCATAAGCATCATTCAAGCAGCTGATGTAGAGCCAGTTTTCACTGCTCCAATCAGATTTGCCTTTTAGAAAGGCAAAGCAAGGTTCCAACAACTTTGGTTTCCAGTAATCTTGAGAATCGAGAGATTCGCATAGGCATGTGCAGTGCATGTTGAATGAAAGAAAACACTTTCCCATTCTAGTATAAAACAAAATTGGTTTGATCATAGTATATGGTGCACACGGGATTTGGCAACATTATGATGGGCAGTAAACCAGACATTGATGATGAGCAGTAAACGGATCATTTTGCTATTGATGACAGTTTTCAAAATCGTACCAAGGCTGTACCGTATACTAGGATTTTACCACAAAATCTTTTTAAACGTTTATTTTTCTTTTTAATAATTACCCTATTATTCATTTTGCAGTAAAATAAAATAATAGTAATCAGTCATCTAAGCTAACTATTTAATATAACTATATTCACCAAAATATTGTTGATTATTGTAATTCAGTTTTTAGTCTTTAAGTAATTAACTTGAATGTTAATTGTATCATTTAATGTGGCTTCTTCCTTCTAAATTTATTTATTATTAGTTAAGATTACTTTCAAATTTCAGGCAATTTTCTCTGGCATAACTCCTGAAACTAATTCTAGCAGTATGGCCATCACAAAATTTTACGTACATAATTTTTGCTTATGTATGCTGCTAAATAAATATAAAATATCTGAATTTATTTTAAAATATCATTAAATAGTTTTTTTTTTTTTTTTTTTTTTTTTGTGTTTGTTTAGCTACTAAATGTCTGCCAAAATTAAAGACATTTTTTAATCCAGTTGGGCAGATTCTAATCTCAATTTTCAGTGGAGGAAATAACTCCTGTTATGGTTATAATAGTAATGCTTTGGTGATTATATATATAAGTCATAGGTAATTAAAAAAATTTTGCCTTTTGAAGTGGTACCATAGTTAATTTACCTCTCAGCACAGCCAGCGTGTATTACATGGATAGACTGGAATTTTCTTAAAACACACCTGGGAAAGCTAAGGAATTTCATTCTCCTGTGTGAGGGGCAAACCTGGTAGACTCACCATACCATTCTAAATTGCAGTCATGGCTGGATCTCCATCAGTAGTGATACTATCAAAATTATGTGCAGAACACAAATTTAAAATGAAGGATAAAATATCAGCTCCAGTTGTTCATCCCTTCCTTTAACTCATTCCCAAAACCCCTTTGGTTACTTCAAAATTTTCAGATATTCCTCTTAACGAACAAAAGCAACTGAGCTGCTGAAGTAATGTTTGTTTACGCATCAGCTGCTAGAGAAAAGTGCTTAAATTTGGCAGCAGTAATCTGTGATTGTTCACTAACATCATCAGATAAATTTTCAATTCTCTTCTTTGAATTATTTTGCTGAGACTCTCATTTTAAAATTTCTTCATAGCTTCAGGGCATACTTTCTCGGACGCCAACTACACTCCTTTGCAAAATCACCATGGCGGCCACTTTTAGCAGTTAATGCTGTGATTTCTAAACTAACTTCACAGTTATCTAATTATGAAGATGCATTTGTGAATACATTCATTTGTGCAACAAGAGAACGTCGATGAAAAAGTGGCCCACGAGAGGCTGAGCGTTAAAGTCGCTGAACACTGGTAGTTCGGCCCAAGGTTCGACTCTCATGAACAGTCTGGCTGCATGGGTGTTTTTTTAGTTTTTCCCATGTATAACGTGTATATGAGCCAGTTTCCCTTAGAAAGTCTTCCATGAAGGCATCCCTCCCCTTAAGCAGATAACCCTCGAGGCTTTGCTGTAATACATAAACCACGAATGGCAAAGAGATTCGATTTTATGATTTCGATCCTCTCCCTCAAACTTTGAAAGTGTTTTGTGTTTTAGTGTCACCTAATATAATACTCCTTGCAAACACTAATCATCAGTTTACATATCAAGTATTTAATTCTGATTTCTTGCTCCACAAAAAAGTATTTCAAAGTCCAGGCCTCTGAAAATGTCCTATTATTATCCTCTGCATATCTTTTCATTTTTGAACTGTTCATTATGACAAGTAACTATCAAAACCACTTATATCAAAAATGGCAAAAATTCTACATTGATTTCTCTTTCAAAATAATATTTAAAAAAATGAAATATTCAAAACAAGAAATTTCTTAATGGTCTCGAAAAGAAAAACACACAAGTGATAAAACAATGTATAGTCACGAAGCTAAAAGTGCAACAAAGTAAATGAATGCTGCGCTTATGATATGAACAAATATTTTTTTTTAAATGGCAGATTGTGAACAATTACAAAATGTAACCCAGTCCATTAATCTATACAAGGCCGGATGTGGTGGTCTCTTTATTATGGAGGCACCTAATAGGTGGGCCACCATCATCTTTCCTATGAAGGGACGGACAGTTACAACTGTGCCTTCTCGAGGATTCCAACACAGGCCTTTCAGCATTGAAGTCAGCTACCCTGACCAGTATACCGACTGGGCGGCTATGAACAAATATTTATCTCTTCCTTTTTACTAGCACATACATGTAAACACACTCATGCTATGTCATACCATAGATCCTTCCTCAATCTGTGTGCCATACAGGGTAGGAGCAGTTTTTGTGCTCAGGTGGTGAAACCTTTCTTGGTTTATGTGAGGAACTTGGCTCTGTGCCAAATCTCACTTTAAGAGCAGAGAGTAGAAGGTGTAACGAAGGTGGAAGCTGTGAAATTTTTTCTGCTTCCAACTCCTTCTAGAGACAACTGATATATGAAATAACAACAAAATTTTGAACATGTCTTGGTGGGCCGAAAGTAGACAGCTCGGGGGCCTGATTTGGACCGAGCCACAAATTTGAATGAGGTATGATGTACTTTTGAATCCAGCCTTGTCTATATTTACTATAGTCTGCTTATTTTTGTTTTTTTTTCGGGGGGGGATGCCTTGATCTTTCTTATTCACAAACACCAAGGATAAAAGTATTTCCAAAAGTTTAAAACTTTTAAGTTCTTAAATTTAAACTATTTAATCATTTTTTGACAGCTTGGAACATTTTAAGTATAATATAAGGCAAAAATTACATTTTGTATTCCTGCTAACTATTCATGCATTACAGTTTCAGAAATACCGCCATATGTGCTTTGCTTTGAGTTTCAGAAGAACTAAAAATTATTTAATTTCTTAAGCAATAGATGTTATTTTTTAGTTATGTATGTTTACATCTACTAAATAACAAATATTTATTTATCAACTTTCTGAAAACTGTTGTGCATTAATATTATCATTTTCTATACATATTTATCTTAAGTCTACTTTTGGTGTTTGTTGGAAACCATGTATAACATTTATAGGTGATTTATAAAATAATTTCTTTAAAAATTTTGTTATTGTTTCTGATTTGAACATTTTTCATTAATTAAATTCTTAATAGATGTATGTTATATTATCCAAATTTAATGCCATTTTACATATCATTGAAATCATATTAGACATCAATTTGTAATTCTTTGATGTTAAGTTTTAGTGCTGCATATTTACTAAACTTACTTTGTTTCAAACTGCCGCTTAACCTTATGCAATTAGCTTCTACCATTATAGTGTATTATAATACTGCAATTTCAGTTTGTATTCTGTATCATTTATTGCTCAAAAGCTATTTAAATGAAACTATTTTAAAGTGTCTGAAAATGTGTATGCATTAATTAATCATATTTTGTTCTGATTCAGAGGTATTTTAAATAAGTTTTTGAAGTTAAAAGAGATTTAAAAATTTGTAATATTACTTTAACTGTCTGTTATCCCTTATAGAAAATTATGTTCCTCCTCAGCCTAGTTCCACCAGAAAGTATTGGTTTCATGATAACTTAGACCGTGAAGTAAGTTAATTGGGAAATAATTTTTACTGTTAATTGTAAAAGTCTTATGTTTATTCATTTTTATAAAGCTGATTGAGCACTTAACATCTTCTGGGAAGCTATTTGTATTCAGATAAAAAATCTGTATATATTTATTTTTCATCGCTTACTGATTTTTATAGTGTTTATTTTAGACATTGTACTTTTTTTTCACTGCTTTAGGGAACATTACAGCTTTTTGAATCCAAGGGATTACAAGATGGAATGTTTCTGGTGCGTCGAAGTACAAGGAGAAGGGATATTTATGTTCTTTCTGTGGTGCATAATTCCCATACATTCAATTATGAAATTCAGCGCAAGGTATAAAGCATTTATTTGTTATACGTCATATAAAATTTGTGGGAATAAATTGAAAAGTTTAAAATAAAAAGAGAAGTAATTGCAAATTTCTGAGAATGAAACTCGTTAGCTTAATATCTTAGATTGAATGGGAAGGCAGCAATTATCATGTACAGTGAAATACATGTAATGCAAAAACGCTTAAGATGAAATATTGGTTAACACGAAATAATACAATGGTCCTGACAAACTACTATATATTTTCATGCATTTTTTTTCTTTTAACACTAAACGAAAATTGCTTAACACGAGAAGATTTCCCTTCTGGGAATGAACAAAATACGGAAAACACTAGCCATGCAGACGAGATTTAACTCTTTGAGGGGCAGGAAAAGGCAATTGATAACTTTTTCAGCAAAACTCTTGTTTTATTTACTATATGAGGTGTTACAATGAAATTATTTGCGACCATTACACATATTTTGTTCAAGACACATGAAAAAAATGACCATTTCTGGTGGTTAGTGTCAGTGACCACCGCCCACAGAACACATCCCTACAAATCAGTCTATGGTACTCATGGAAACAGTTTTTCTTTCTCAAGCAGAGTGCAACTTTGCATGTGCTGCATTTCTACAGTTTTTACAAGCTTTTTCTTGGTGCTGCAGAGTGCACATCATCGTATTGTTGTCTTTGATGGCTGATGCTTTGGCTTATGTTCCTTGATTGCCATCTAATGGGGTACTTCAGAAACTTCAGAAACAGTCAGTCTTGAAAACCACTCACACGAGTGAGTAAGACGTTCAGTAGGAAAGGTGATTACTATAGGTAACCACCGCCCTTCAAATAGTTAAGAGGGGTGTGAAATGGAAGAGAGGTAGTTTTGCATGTTTCGTAGAAAGGGAGCTAGCTTGGCTTTGAAATACCCTCGGAGTAGCCTATAATATGAGCCAATTTTGTTTATCTAAGCTACTTTCACCCTCCACCCCTACAAACGCCTCACAAAAATATCTCATCTCTCATCAGTCGACTTTGGAATTCGGTGACGAGTATATTGCAATGTGTGTAAAAATCAGTGAGTTTGGTTCGTGCCAAACGAAATGAAAAAGAAGGATATTGAAACTGAGCTGACACTTAATGAAATGTTTGAGAAAGTTTGTGTATTATTGGACTTTGCTACTGTATCATCGGAAGAATTCGTTGCAGTAGATGATTATAATGTGTGTACTGCTCCAATTATGGCAGATAAAGTAAGTTTGGAGTTTGTTCAAAGCTCAAAAAGTATCATTGATACATATTCCGTCTATACAAAAATGAAAAGAATAATGCAGCTCCTGTTCCCGAAATGAGGAACATCGTGAAAAGTATGCACAGTTATTTTTAGATGCACATTCCAATGGTGAAATAAATAATAAAATGGATGACATCCAAAAATCTGATACTAAAAAACACAATGCAAAGAAAAATATCAGATTATTTTCCAAAAGCTCAATAAAAGTTTGGTTTTTCAAAAAACTTGAAAATTTTGTATTAAATTAAGTTCTTGTGGATGCTTTTGTTTCATTGATTTTTATTAAATACATGCTTATGGATATATATATATATATATGTAAATAAAATGCACTCTAATAAACTTAATTTTGTTAAATCTATGTTTTCTTTTGCAATATCCTTTAACATGAAATTCTTTTAATACAAAAAAATATCTTAGTCCCCTCAGTTTCGTGCTAAACGATTTTCACTGTATGTATTTCTTTGAGCGTATAATTTGTGTATGAATGTCTGTCTTTATGTATGGAACATTAAATTTATTGAAACCTAGAGAATATGTAAAATTATGCATAATAAAAAAACTTTGCCTGAATAATAAAAGAAAAAACTGCTGCCTTTTCTCCCTCTTGCCCATTTAGTTTTTATTTATTACTTTCCACACCTATATGCAAATTGATTAAAGAAATAGAAGAAAGTGATGAATATTTGATGTTTAACATATGGGGAATTTTTTTCACTATGTTATTCATCTGCATATGATATGGTCATCTCATTTCCAGACTTATGGTTTTTTACTCTCATGTTTTATTTATTCAGTTTCCCCCTCTGTTTATAGATGGCATTGCCTGACCATAAGAATAGGTTTTTGTAATTTATTTTCCCTTTTTCCTTTTGAACTCATGGTAAAATGCCTTGTTTGAAATATGTTGTGTTTTATATGCTAAATATTCTGCTGAGTAAAATTTTACTGAAAACTTATTCTTTTATAATCTCATTGAAAGCATTTAATAGCTTTTAATTGTATTCTTTTTATTGTTTCACTTTGAATATTATAATTTTGGGTGCTAAATAAAAAAAAAAAAAAAAAAAAAAAAAATTAAAGTGGTTGGTTCAGAAACTGAAAGGCAATGATTGTAAAGTCTCAAGCATTAATGGCTATGAAAAGTTACTGAATCTGGAAGCTCTTTGGTTTTTTACAGATATTTAGATGATAAAATTCGTATAATGACTTCAAAGGTGTTCAAACATTTTGTGAGATTGATGTGTTATCCACTGGCCCCACTGCAATTCCCATTCTTTGGTTTTTCATCCATTTACACAGATGTTGAAGAGAAAATAGGGCTATTATACAATTCTTCATAACTGTTTCATGATGATCTTACTGCAGCAGAGTATAAAAAGCCTACACTTGAAAGGTCATTTAGGACCTCTCAAGTGTAATCCTTTGCAATTTACAGATTCCCTTTGCAATCCAGTGCAATTTACAGATCACCATTTCATGAAACTTATTCCTCATACCAAAAGGAAGACAAACGGACTTGTCAATGTGCAGTAGGCTTCTCTAAAAAATATAGAAAAAGAAAGCAAGAAGGTAAAAAATTAAGATATTATTGCCTATTGAACACGTTATTTTGCCTCTGAATTTTTAAATTCTATACCATTTCATCTAACATTTAACCTGTATCCAGCAGGTCCTTTTCTGACAAAATTTCATAATATTGAGCTTGACATACTCCATATGATTTTTAATGACTCTAACATATCAATCTTAGCATTTCTGATTATTATGTCATCCTTTTTTATATTGTCATCATTAAGGTCATTTACAAATCTGGTAATTTTTGACTTGACAGCTCCTCACCTCCAATTCAAAACCCCCATGTCTTCCACTGAGTCTTCAGCACTTAAGCTAAATACAAGAAAGTTAAATTCAGTTGCAATAACCTTTTTAACAATAAAACTGAATTCCTCTTAAATCCAGGAGGCACTGAATTTTCACTTTTCAGTTGTATGGACCAAAAATACTGTTAGACCTTAAAAAAACAAATCGGTCAATAACTATAAAAATATTTTATTTCAAATTAAAACTTGTACAATTGAAACATCTTATTAATGTTACACAAAAATAGCACTGTAGCCATCAGTTGCTTTAAAACAATTACGAGCATCAAAGTTCCAATTAAATTAAGTGTAGACATACTACACCAGTATGAAAAGCAGTCAGACTGACTGAACTATAAACCAGCAAGGTGCTGACAAAAATTCCATTGGCATCTCGAATACTCACATAGCATTCATCATCACCTGATGTGAAAATGTTTCTAGTAGTTTAGCTATACTTTAATTAACAGTATTGTATAAAATTCTTTATATATTCATTGAAAATTATCAGTTAGATGCAAGTGATAATCTTAAGTACATTACTTTTAATTTTGAAATTCTCCAGTGCATCAGTCGATAATGGCACTGAAAAAAGATCAAATTCCAGTGATTAGGCCAGCTACATGGTTGTTTTCATGCCTTTCTTCATGTGTAACATAAATGCCATCCTGGTTCCATTAAAATTCTTCATAAAAGCATGCATTTCCTAAGACAGCAGTCATGAGCTTTGCCATATTCAATTAAATAAATTTAATTTTGAAAGTACTGTGGAAACATAATGTTAAAATTGCTGAATATTTGTGTGAATTGCATAATTATGCATTAAATAAGCCTTCATTTAACCAGTTGTATTAAACATGTTTACTATTATAAGGTGTCAAGCATGTCCTGTTTATTAAATGAAATCATTCTCAATGTAACATTTATCTTGCTTTTAACAGTTGATTAGCATTTTAATGAAAATACCTAATGTTTATTTCAGGATAAATTTTATTTCATTGATGATGGGCCTTACTTAGATTCTTTAGAACATATTATAGAACATTATAGTAGAATGGCAGATGGTCTTCCTACAAATTTAATGTATGCAGTTGCCCCAGGTATTATGATATATTTAGCTTTTTTTTTTTTTACATAGAACAGTAACTAAATGTTGTGCACTATTAAAGAAAGTAATAAATTTTTAAAAATTAGAAATTGCATTTATAAAATATGTAACAGTTTGATTATTATTTATTTTACAGAAGTCTGTAGTGCTCCCACTTCTAGGAATACTGCAATTGATGTAAGAATAAATACGTATAAATTTCTTTGTGCATGGTCTTGTTCCCCCCCCCTTTTTTTTTTTTTCATTTTCTTTTACATTTATATTTCTGTAGATTTGTTGACATTGTTTCTGAGGTATAATCATATTTAACACTGGAGGTAATATTTTTTTGGAATTATGTACAACATCGATTAATTTAGCATCTAAAATCTGTCATTTCACACCAGTGATCAATGGATGATGCAAGGTAGCTTCATAAAGGTCTTGGAAATGGACAACAGTGAAAGTAATTTGGATGTTGATAAAGCATTCCTGGTGTCATACAAAAAGTGATTTGAGGGTCCTTTACAGTGGCTAGAATAGTAGTTTGTTTCTATGATGTGTAACTTCAGAGGATTATAAATAGCCCTGTTACAGTAGTTTGCTGATATTTCAGGTACCTAATCTACAGAACACGAAAAGAAAAGCATATTAATCACTACAGCTGACTACAGATAGACATTATCTAGACATATTCATGGGGGAAAAATGTATTTCTTATGTGTCACGAAATCAGCATCAGTCATCTTAATGGGAATCAGCTTTTCAGCTTAACAGCAGCAGGGGAAAAGAGTTATATGCAAATCCCCCCCAGGATATCTAAGTATCAAATCATCAAGAATTTATTCTGAACAATTGTTACTGTTAAGGAAATCTATATTAATATGCTCCATCATTTAATAGATGATGTAGTGAGTATGAATAAATTCTTGATGATTTGATACAGGATATCTAAGTATCAAATCATCAAGAATTTATTCTGAACAATTGAAGCTACTGTTAAGGAAATCTGTATTAATATGTTCCATCATTTAATAGATTATGTAGTGAGGAAATGCCCACAAAAATTAAGAACACACTGCTTTCTTCTTTAGGACAATGTTCTGACATATTACTCCATTGGTTAAACAGTATTTTGAAAATTGGAGTTTAACTTTGCTTTAACATCCTGCCAGAACCACAAAGAAAGGAGCACAACTGCATGTGTCTGTTAGAAAATAAGAGGAATGGCAAAAATTAGTGTTTTGACTGCAGTTATACTAAATGAAATATAAATGTTGAAAGTTGTTGGTGGAAAAGTTTACATGCTGCAATTTCAAGATTTGCCCTTGCTGTCAAAATTTGTATGCATGGCTCTGCTTTCTATGTAGTCTGACTCACACCTATCATTTTTATTCTTTTTTGAAATTTAAGTTAAAAGCAGCAGAAGAAAATTTTCTCCCATTGCAATAAATCTTATTAAAGAACTATCAAAGAATTATTTTCAGGGTTACTTCTTATGAGAGTTTACATGCTTTTTTATTTTTATTTATTATTTTTTTTTTCCCACCCGTTCCAGATGGTTGGCTGGCAAAAAAAGGTTTTTCGTATTTTTTTAACATGTTTTGTTAACAGATCCAATTTCTCTCTAAAATTTCTCCATGAAAGCATTTCTACTATATAGGCAGACAACTGTTTATACTATGACTTAATTAAATAATCCAGTCTTGACTAAGGTATTTTTTGGTAAGATACTATTGTAATCGTTTTGCTAAAAACTTTTTATAAAATGAAGCCTGAGAACATTTTGAAGCTATCTTTTGCATTATATAGACAGCAAAGCAGATGCTTTTTGTGAAGTATGTGTTAAATCAGATAGCTTTTTTGAAGCATATACCGTACAAAGTCTGAAATTAGATCATCCAATATTTGGACCTCAGCACCACCAGCAAAAAAATTTTTCTCTTATCAAGCTCAGATTAAGTCTAAAATCATAAATCAGATAAATTTGATGTATAAAGTCTAAAAACATAAATCATAGGTTGCCAATATAAATTGGATAAAGATTAGATTAGATTTATAATATGTAAGAATAGAGAATATAATGCTCAAGATAAAGGAAGATGTAATGTAAAAGAGATTCTTCTCTTGAATAACTAAGATTCCTGTATATCACTTTCAACCACCTGCTTGTTAGGTGATAACATAGGCAATGAAAATACATCAATTTACTTTGTATTGACATTAGCAATGGACTCAGTTTGTGCCCTTCAGAGAGGGGGAGGGACCATTTTTTCTTCAGTTATGGCCCTTCAGAGGGGGGGGACCATTTTTCTAGCTGAACTAAACAGTAAGTGAAGCCTAAAGGCATACTTATTTGGAGTGGGATATGCATGGTACATACATACATGCATGGGCTTATACTGCTATTCTTTTGTCGGCATAATAGTGGGAAAGGGAGAAAGATTCTGAGGAACTTAAGTTCTGTTAATATGGCAGATTCACTCTCCCTTTACTTTCTGATTTGAAGCAGCTTATTATTTTATTTCATCTATTACTGATCTTATCAAAATTACAGTTTTAATAACTGATAATTTCTCTGCTACTCCAGACTTCCATCCAATGGATATCAGATTTTTATGTGCTTTGACTCAGATATAAAATAGCTTTTTAAAAACGGATGAATTCTAGAAATACTTTTAATATAAAATCTTGTGTGTGAAGCATCGCAAGATCATGAGAGGACATGTCTGCAGATATATATATATATAGCCAGCTACCAAATTTCACAATGATGATGAAGGCGGTGAATATATTCTGAAGTTTTCAGATATCACAAGCAAAAAGTGAAATTTTCCTGTTAATTGAATAAGATGATACAAAGAGTCTGAAGATGATATAACTGAAGCCTAATATTGCGATGTCAGTGCCTCATTCATCAATCAATGAACAGAATGGCAAGTTTTTGAAGTATGGTTTTAAATCCAGAAAATACTGCCATTTTCCCTTCAAGTCACTTTTCAATTCGTTGGTTGGAGATTAAGGAAAAAAAAAAACACTGTATGTAAAATGTCTCTCTCTCTCTTTTTTTTTTTTTTTTTTTTTTTTTTAAGAAATAATAAGGAATATATTTAATTTTAGAGTTTCTGTATATAATGTTACTGGTTGACTAATGATCTAAAGTCCAGAATTTCCTGTATGTGAATGATTCTGGATCTCTTACTTTGTACTGAAATACGATAGGTTTCTGCAATTCTAGTATGCTGTAGAAAAACACTTCTAGATTACTAACATAAATCAGGTCAGAAAATTCTGAAGTTTTGTTTCAAAGCATGTGCTATTTAAAGGTCTGAAATTTTTTTGATTGTGATATGCTTGCTTTTTACATAAATAAATTGTCAAATATTATTTAAATGTAGACATATATTGGAAAATTAGTGTTGTGTATATCTTTTTATTTGGCATGCATTTATTTTGTTTCTGCTTTATAAGACCTGAAAGCATTATACCATATTTCCTCACATATCGTCCTTCCTAGCTTTTTAGCACCAGTTTCTGAAAATTTTTAAAATTTTGTCATAATTTCCCTTTCCTCCATGCATTCGGAGGATGAGCTACCCTACATTTTAAAATGGATTCATTTATATAGTGATTGTTTCCATCTTACTAATTAAGACAAGCCTTCACAATCTACCTGTGAAGGTCACGCTGAACCTTTTCCTTCAAACTGTTAAACGTTATCCCAGCCTAATGCAAGAATTGATCATTCACAGCAAAGCAAACACAAACTGACATTTAGTGTATGATTTTTTGAAGTCAACTGCATGTTCATCTTTTCGAATTAGGTATGGACAAGTTGGGGCTTGAGGAGCAGAAACAACAGCAAGATTGAGCAGGATTCAAGTTACTGGGAAATAGTCAGGAAAATATCGTATCAGATATTGTAATGTTAACATTACTGTGTATTCTTATTGAAATGTAGGTTTTCTTTAAAGAATAATAATGTGGTAGTTACCTGTAGTTTATCCTTGACTACTTTTCATTTGTTATGTTATATTGTAACTGCATCCTTCGGAAATTATTCACTTAATTTTCCCCTTTAGATTTTCAGACAACAAAATTAATAAAAGAGGGTGAAAATATACAAGGAAATGTGGTATTTTTTCGCTTTCTGCTGTGTAACTATAGTTCAAAGTTCAGTGGAATGCTCCTAGTTCCTTTTTAAAGGAAACGTATGTTAAGTGTCATAAAATTTTTATTGATATATGAAAAAGCCTCATAATGTGATTACTATCATTGTAATTAAATTTTGTTATCATATCTTTGTTACATTATTCAGTGCATTGTTTGTTTGTCTACAATGTCTATTCTACACTGCTATCTATTGACATTTCTTTGAAATAATGTCATTTGTAATGTTAGAAAAAGCTCAAGTAAATTTTAGTTCTGTATTAATACAAAACAGAAATCTTGCTTAAATCTGTATTCAATATTGTGCTCCTTATTTATCATTCTGTGTTATTGTTGATTCCCTACTTTTTAGTTTCTAGTATTAACTTTATTGAAACGGTTTAATCAGATATAATTATGTCCAGATGTTGAGAGATTATAATGAACTTTAGTCAGTTCTGAATTAATTTTATTTTTCCTTCTGGTAAAGTCCTTCTGGTTCTTCTTAACTCAGTTCTGATTGAAGGCCTACCAGTGATAATTTCTAAACCACAAATCATTGGTGTTTTTAGTCTGAAGTCTGATTCCTTTTTTATTGGGTGCATGACTATTTTTATAGTTTTTCCCATATGTCATATAAATGATTTTTGACATTGAAGGCATTCTTTCCGTAGCAGTTAGCTTTTATTTGTTATGTTATTTGTTAAGTAATCAGACATGATTAAAAGGCATGTCTTTTGCAATCTTATAGTAGAAGAAGATTCTACATTGGCACTGCAGTTCTTGGTTGTATTTCCCAAGTTATATTTACTACTTCAATAGCGTACAAAACATTAACAAAAGCGTTTTAGATTTTTATCTGCATCTGTAATAAAATTACAGATTTAACTCTATAAATAAAATATTTTAACTTTACTTTAATCTGGGTATTTAAGAAAAGATGCAGAGCATAACACAAAGCCGAAGATGTTTTGCACTGAAAGCATGAATTGATAACAGAAATCTTTGACAAGTTCTGTGCAATAATTAAGATGACTAAAAATTTTAACTTTTTATGATTGAAATAAATGCAGCTCGTGCTTATAAAGCTTATGCCTTTTCACAATTTTTATGTTATTTTTATGATAGACTGTAGGATGTTTTGGACATCTGAATTAAAGGATTTTTTGATTTTTTCCCCCTCACATCTAAATCAATTTGTTCCCATTTGCATGTTACAGTTACTCATAGTCTTTTCTTACTTATCATAATAGTTACTTTTAACTGTTGTAAATAATATTGGTTTGTAGCCAATTTTTCCCGTCACTGGATAGTTTATTGTGCAGATTTTAGTGTGTCTGAAAAAAAAAAAAAAAAAGCCACTAGCACTGAAGATAAATTTTCAGATCATTGATATGTGTTAGAAAATTTCAGAAAATAAACCCTTGTTATATAGGTAACAAATTGTTAAATTTTCGTCTCATAATGCAGTCAGTATGTAATATTATCATCAATTTAATGTTCGTGTTTTTTATTAGTCTAATTTTTCATGAAGTGCACTGACCATTTGATTAGCAATAATTATATTAGAACGATGTGCTTCAGCACATGAATACAGAAAATTATCAATCTTATTCTAAAATGTAGTTAATTTCTCAAAAAATAAAATATTGTTAAATTTTTTTTAAATTTCTGAATGATTTATCACCATTTTTCGTTAAATTTTTTAGCCCCAGTACTCAACTTAATATTTCGTTATTGCTGATTTCATTTTTGTGTAAGCAATAAAATAGCAAATTTCACTGTTATTATGCCTGTCCCCATCAGATCTTAAGCTCCAAATTATCTTATATTCGAAAACATACAGACAGAATCATTATTTATAGCAGTGTTTCTCTACTTCAGGATATGTCACAAAAGCCCCAAAATCAAGATATAATAAGAAACTTACCATGTTGACATTTTATGTAGCATCATTTCTTGTCTGTCTCTAAAGAGTTATTATAATATGAGGTGAGTGTATTAGCCAGCTGATAGCAAGCTCAGACTGTAAATTAAAACCATGATGAAAACTTGTTACTATATGGTCTCAAAATTATCAAATTGAAGAGTGATGGTCCATTAGTTTCTGAGTAGTTAAAATTGCTGAACACTGGTAGTTCGATCTCAGTTCATATCTTGGTTAAAGGTACTTTCATGGTTTTCCCTGTGTGGAATGTGAGTCTGTGTTTCTTAGAAAACCCTCCATAAATGCATGTCTTTTATTAGGCATATAGTCCTCACGTACTTTGCTATAAACAGGTAAATAAAACATACAACATAATAAAACATACCTGTAAACAGGAAAATTATAGTAAAAACAGCTGTATTAAGTATTTTAGAGCTTTACTTATATTTATATTGCCTGTTTTAAAATTAATGAACTAATTCAGAAATGAAAAAGTGGAAAGCTGTGATTCTTTTTACAAGTCCAGTAAAGAACAGTTTATAAAACATTTGAGTTATTAAATTTTCCTTATGCAGTCTTTGAATAGATGCAGAGAGATTAAAAATCTTAATTTCACACACACAAAAAAAGGGTTATTTGGGTATTCCCCCTCAAGCTTAGTTATTCAATATATCTCACTACAACTGTATTAATCTGAGTGTATTTTTTTGAATATGCATTCAGTGCTCATTTGAGTCGCAGAAGTCGTTTCCCTAGTTTTTCAGGTATTTCTGAATTGCCTTGAAGGTAACAGCTTGATCTTTATAGATATTTCCATGTTTAGAAACTTGCATTTCCAGAGAAACAGAATCATCTGCTCTGTTTGGGAACATGTGGATTGTGAGTATTATGAATGAAAATCTATTATTAGAGCAAATACATCAACATCAGCAATAATTACTAAAATTTTTGAATAACTAAGCTTTCAGAGGAGGAAGATGAACCAGACTACTCAATTATTTTTATATTGTTGAAATTTTCAGACTTGGCCATGTAGTTTGTAAAAATTTTTGCGCTTTTCTTTATTTGGTATGTATTGTCAGTTTAGAATTCTGTGATGTATATCCTTTTTTTTTTTATTTACAACAGGTGCATTACCTTATTTACGCAGACTTATTTTTTAATCAAAATCAACTTTTCTCAATACAATAAATAGTATTTTTCACCTGTATTCACATGAATTATCCTAATTTCTTTCTTTTTGTTTTCCTGTTGCAGAATTTAACAGAAAATGTTGTTTATAGTAATTTAGAAGACAGTATTAATGGAGAATCAGCATTAACTGACACACATAAAACAGAAAGTTCCTCACGTCCGAATTTAATATGCAAAGAATCATTAAAATTAGGTACTGTGACTTGAATTTTATTTATAACTTGCTCCTTTTTGGCATTTAATTTGCTCCAAATATGAAGCATGTTCTCATGTAATCATAACATAAAAAAACCTCGCATAATGTGGTTAATTAATCCATAAACTTACCGTATTTGACGGCATATAAGACGCACCCTTATTTAGACGGCCACACACAAGGAAAAAAGTTTCAATAGCGTGGTTTCTTTTAATTCTCACGTTTCGTAAAAGCCAAGTAAACAATTATTGAATGCAATTACCTTCACTTATAAGACTCAGTGCTTCACGTATAAGATGCAGGTAACTTTTTTGAGACCAAATTTAGGAAAAAAAGTGTGTCTTATATGCCGTCAAATATGGTATGTGCTTTAAATGAAAATGTTTGTTGTAGTCAGTTAATAGTCACTTTATAATATTTATAATAAGTTTTATATTTCTAACTGTTTGTTATACTCACTTTATAATGACTATAACAAGCAGTTAGAACCAGTAAAAAACAGCCATCTGTGAGTATAAGCTTGAGAAAAGTTTATACATTGTATTAATGAATAAAGCCGTTAAAGTTAAATTGCTTAATTTTTTTAATGTCAGAATGTTTGATTAAGTTACATATTTAAAAAAAATAATGGTGTTTGAAGTTTTCGTTTTATCCTGCAATTAGCAATAGTTGCAGATTGCTGGGTGCAAATTTTGGGAAAACTCAAAATGAACCATATATGACCTGACTTCCAACAAAATTTTCTTAATATGCTCATTGGGAACAATAACTGATCAAGTTTGTTTCCAATTAACTTCTTAGTCTCTGATCTAGTTTCAGCATAAGTGGGAATCCATTTTCTAAAAAAAAAAGGTATTTTTGTTTAGATAATACATATAAATATCTCCATGTTTTGTAATATTGTGACTGTTGAAGTTATGAAATATTTTGAAGAAAGCAGGGTTTTATCATGCATTAAAATCTGATGGGCAGTTAAAATGTCTTACAAATATATTTGTCTTGCAATTAGTCCTAAACTAATGAACAGGGTTTCTTTAAAAAAAAGTCCAGTTAGATATCTTTGATTTTCTACAGTACACAGTATTTCTTCATTATGATAGCTATCTTTTGTTAGCTCTTTCTTATTGGCTTGCTTCTGATTGGTGGCAAGTAAGTTTGCATAACTGAAAAAAAGGGGGGGCAGTAACTGATAAACACTCTTGTCATTTAGTGACTTGCTACTTTTAATACCAACCCAGCATTGCAGGTGTTAGATTGGTGTTAAATAAGTTTTTCCTGTATATTTATTCGTTCACACTAAAAATTGTATAAAAGTGAAGTTATTTAAATTCTCTAAATGTTGTTGGTTTTGGTACTAGATGATGCTACCCAGTTCTGATTGCTTTTTGGAGTGTAGAGGATATTTAGCTTGATTTGCATGGTAAAATTAATTAGCTTAATTTGCATGTTTAATTTAGCTTTAATTTGCATGTCTTAAGATTAATTTAGCTTAATTTGCATGTTTATATATACAGGTTTGAGTCACATAACTAATCGCCATTGAAAGCAGCTGTCGCATAATATGGTGAAGATAACAGTGCATATGTTTATTACATATTGCTGACATTTAAGATGGGATATTTGCTGTGCATGGATGTAGACATCGCTGCTGTTATGTGCAATGTTATGTTGTGTTAAACTCTGGAAAAGGCATGTCATCAGCTATTTGATTAGGTGTGTTAAGCTGCTATCACACATCTGTTTGTTTTGGAAGGACAACTGTTTGGAACAATTTTTCTCCTTTGTCACAACAGCCAATCTTCACAGATCAGTCTGGGTTAACATGTAAAGGAGAAATTGGTTCTCCATTACAAACAAGCTGATAGGTTGAAAACGAACAACTTGCAATTTTTTGAAAAGGAAGGGAAAAAAATCACAGGTCTTTCATTCAAAAGTAAACCAGGTGGAAAGATTATCTGAAACAGTTGTTCGTATGAAACAAATGCATGTCTGATATGGGCCTTAGTGTTTTCACAAGCAGTAAACTGCTTAAAATGGCATTGTTCCAAAAAAGGTAAATTGTAGTATTTTTCGCAAAGTTTATCTCAGCATGATAAAAGTCTACCAAACCTAGAACAATGCAATTATTTTGATTGCATTATATGCCAATAAACCAGATGTGAATATCAGCTGAACTTGCTTTGTAAGACTGGCCGGCAAGCTACTATGCATTAGCTATTTTTTCAAATAGACCAAGAGCCCCCCCCCTGAAAAAGTTCTTGAATATAATCCAGTAAAATTTCTTGCACAGTGCAGAAAATGGCTGGTGACAAAACTTATGCTGACATCTACACATCAAAAGCAATTGCTCAGTTTACACAGAACTATCAAAACTAAATTTTGGCCAGGTGATCTACAAGGAATCATTTCTGCTCTGAGGAGTAAATGAATAGTGCCATTTTAAGCCAGAAACAACTAGAAACAGGTATCCATATAAAACTCTAGGATATGGACAAGTTAGTGGGAGTAGCATTATGGTTGGGGCATTGTTTTCCTTTGAGGTGTTGAAAGCTTTGAATATAATTGATTATCTTTCAGCCCCCACAGATCAAATGCAATTCTACCCGAAAGTATTCTCAGTGGCCAACTTTATGGCCAAGCAGTGGCTATGTATTTATGTGCAAAGCAATATGCTTTGTTATAGTCTGTGATGGATTTTAGGAATAAGTTAAAAAGCTTCTGCCTTGGCCACCTAATTTGGTAAATCCAAACTCATTTGCATCCCTGTGTACCATATATTCCAGCATATAATGCACATTTTTGATGCAAAAAATAAGATCAAAATTTATGGGTGCACGTTATATAAAAATGATACGTTAAAAATAAAGAACAGAAGAACATACATAAATTAGATTTCTGTACGTACCTAAATGCTGTTTATTTAAAAGAAATGACACATCTTAGGAACTTAAAAATTTGCAAAATCGTATAATTTTTCATTATTGAATCGTTTCCTGTACATAAATTATATGAATCGTCTTTCATTCAAGCAGAGAAAATGCCTGACTCCTAATTCCGTGAATTCATTCGGGAAGTGCATTCTTACCCCTAATTACATCCTACCTTTTCCCGAATCCTAGAATAACATTCTTGTTCACATATGCAGTGAATACATCCCATCCTCTTTGCAGAATTATTTGCTTCCTCAAGCATTTCCTCCGCACACATATTGTTCTTATCGCTTGTCAATTCAGTTATACCATTGTTTGAAAGGTCTGTGAAAAAAACTTTGAATGACTTCAAAAGGTAATAGAATCGCATATGTATATTTCTGGCTTCTTCTTAAAGAAAAGGCTGCACATTATACAGTGAATATACCTAAAAATTAAAAAGTATAGTTTGAAATGATAGGTGTGCGTTATATACCAGTGTTCGTAACGCGCCGGAATATACAATATATATGCTATTAATTGCTAGAATTTGAATAGATTTTGTGGTAGTGTGTTTTGTAAAGTATAATTTTATTTATAATGTGTATTTTAACTAAACATTCTGAGAAATGTAAATTGTTCCTTCCATTCTAAAGCAAAATATTTTCTGATTTATTTAGGGCTACCTGTTGGAGAAGGTGAATTTGGTTCAGTTTTAAGAGGAAAGTGGTTAAGCCCCAAAAATATTGAAGTAAGTTTTTCAATATATTTTTTATTTTGCAAAATTTACTCAACAGAAAAATGAGAGCTAGCTGTATGTGTACATTCATTGTTCATGTAGACTAATATCACATTCTCTGTTTTTAGAATATTTTTAGCTTAGCAGTTTAGTCCTGTGCTGCATTATATCTGTGGGAAATAATATCATGAAGGCGTTTTCCTTTCAGAATGCGAACTAAGGTTTTTCAGTCTCCAAGGACAACTGAAGATCTCATGCCCCTCTTGTTTACCAAGAATGAAAACATTTCATTCGAAAAATTCTTTACAGCAGTTCGGTGCCCCTGGATGCTGCGGCTGGGGACAGACGTTCCCCTTTTTACCCTCTAGCTATGCCCATTTCCTTTCAAAATAGTTAACTTTCTAAAGCCAGCTGTATAATTGTTGTACCATGAAATTTACTTGCTTTTAATCCAGCTATGGTACAAGTGTCGTACCAACGTTTTTGTCCCCTTTTTAGAGTAATCGTTTATCTATAGATTCTCTAGGTGGTCCAGTTTCCTTTTCAGAGCAGCTCCTGGTTATGCATTGTTTCCTGTTTCTTATCTGGTTGGCTACGTTTTGGTGAAAACTGTTGGTATTGTCTCATGCCAATGTACTTGAAAATAAAGCAGATGCTCTCTTTCCAAACATTAGAGCTTTTTCTCATGATTTCAATGTAATTTTTCCTCGCTTTCTTATTCAGTTCTTATAGCGGCACCTCTTTTCAAAGGTTTCAATCAGGACTAAATTAATAAGTTGTTAAGAGATTTAGAAGAGGAAACATTTGCTGATACAGATTCGGACTGTTCAGATACAGAAGAAATGTGTTTTAATCAATCCTTTAATGAAGATAAAGTTGCCGATGAAAAAGCAATGCTAATAATTTAATTGAATGAAGACAGCCAAATGAGTATGACAAAGCTAACATATTGACCTTTACTGGTAATCCTGATATATAGATGGAATTTTCGGAAACTTATCTTGCTCTTGATTTTTAAAAATTTTCAGATGAATTGTTTAAAATTTTAACCAGAGAATCTAATCAATATACTTCTCAAGTCTTAGAGATGTAACCAAATATAATTGGAAAAAGAAAGCATGAAAGGGTCTGTACGCCAGTTAAATCTGATGAGCTTCAGAATTTTTTTGGATTAGTCTTACTCATGGGACATATTGAAAAAGACAGATTATTGGTCCACGGATGAATTAACTGACGCACCAATTTTTCACATATAAGGATACTTTAGTAAAAATTTGTCATAAACAATTTTCTTAATTTTGCTTTGAAAATATTCCTGGGTAATTGTTTTGATCACTGAAAGAAATATAAAAAACATATTTCCTACACTGTAAATGTCAACACCCTGTATGCCTTTATTCTTTTCAAAGTAAGAAAGATTAATCTTTTTAAAATAAATTAGAAAATTTATTATGTAGAACATATGTAATCCAATTAAAATCAAACTTTGTATATAACGATGGTTTTGAATGAAATCTGCCTATGAAAGAAAATTGATGTAGAATTCTTTATAAGCATTTAAAACTGTTCCGAAAAATATTTTTGATAAATTTTTATTTTCTAAAATTTTAAATCAGACATAAAAATTCTCATCAGCAAATATTAAAATAAGTCTAAAAGTGCTTTTTCTCTATGGACACCATGAAAATGCAAAGATTTAAGAAATAATCTCATCAGACTTCACACTGCAGGTATAAAATGGATTACATATATGGGTATTCGAAGAATTTTTTCTCTGCTAACGTAAACAAAAATCTAATTTTATAAGGAAAATTCTCTCTACAGAAAATTCTCTCCTCCTTTGCTCGACAGTCCAAGGTAATATTTGTTAAAGTTAAATAATCAAACACAACTAATATAGCTATGGTTTTCTTTTTTTTTTTTTTTTTATATTACAATGACAAAATTATGAAAAAAAGATTTAAAGCTTTATTATTTTCTATAAGTTCATCTCAAAATCTAATAGTAATGCATCATATTCTAATCATCTATTAGTAATGAATATTATTATGAATCCCTTATTATTATTTAATTATTCATTACTATTATTTTATTACTGAAAACAGATTATCAAATATTGCATTCCGACCTGCAGGCACATAAAGCTAGTTCATATTTTTTATATTTTGTCACGTTCTGTTCTCGTTTCCTAATTTCTAGTAGAAACAAAAACATAAAATTCACAAGCTATTACCAAGATTGATCAGGAATAGTAAATGTTGTATAAACATTGTATACATTTTGCTCTAAATAAATAGTTTAGTTTAAATGAAATCAAAATAAACCTTGAAAAAGTCACATATATAGTAACCTATTCTAAAATTATATCCAGTGTCCAACAAACATGTAAATTACTGCATCTATTGAGGGGATAGATGACAATCCTAATGACTTTTCTCATTAGGGAACAGTAAAGGAGGGTTAAAAAGCGTTTTGTATCACTCCATACTAAAGGTTATATTTTGAGATTTTAAGCCAGGTTTTATAATGTTAAGCCTTTACTTTCCTATTGTGTGTACAGCTTCATAGGATGATAAACTTCATTTATAAAGAAAGTTTTGAATTTCATTTATTGATTGTTTAGTGGTTTCTCTGTCCTATAATGATATTTTTATAGCAAAAATAAGCAATTTTTGTTCCATAACTTTTATTCACATAAAATTATTGAGTAGTTTTAACTAACCAGTGTAAAAGTTGCACTGTGAAAATAGATTGGGATCCAAAACCTTTTTTTCTGTCTTCAACAACAACTGAGGAACTTTTTTAATTCCATTTTAAAGTTATTTGCAGTTTATGAGCATAATACTATGCCAAGACAGTAATTGCATATAGTGAAATGATTCCATAAGCTAGAAGAAAATAATTATATATGCATTATAGTGTATCCTGCTGTAGTATTTGAAAACATTTTTTTCCCATTGAAACAGAAATATTTTTTTGTGGTTTTTGTGGTTGCTTATTTGTCTTTCTACACTTAAATGGTGTCGAAATTGTTTAAGAAAGTTACAGAAAAAACTTTTTAAAAATGCCTTATAAAGAGCATATTGTAGTTAACTGTGAATGGCCTTTGACATCAGTTCTAAAATTTGAGTTCTTTTTTTCTGTGGGATTTAAAATTGCAATTTACAGTATAGAAATTGCAGTTAACCATAATACAGCATTCTCTTAATAGCATATTCTGCAGCATTTTGGAGAGTGCATCAAGAGAAAATACGAAATGCTTGTTTTTTTTTTGTTTTGTTTGTTTTGTTTTTTGTTTTAAAAAATCTTACATATACTAGATATTGTAATGTGTACTAGATGCATAACAATATCTAGTATACATCTTTCATACATCTTGTATATAGATCTTTTAGTGTATATTAGATTTTAGAATTCAGAACTTCAGATCTCTAAGCAAATTAACTTAAATTAAAAATTTTAAAGTATTCTCTCTAATTCAAATGGCACGATTTGAAGATTTTTTATGGATTCTTTAAAAATGCATTTGATATAAATTTGTTTATGCGATTGCTTTCATTTGTGCAAGAAATTTATGCTGAGTTAAATCCAAGTATGTTTTATTATGAAACAAATGTTAGAAAGAGCAGAAAATAAATTGGAGATTAATATTCAGCTTATGTAGAATGATTATTGACTTTTGCTTTACGTTTTTATTTTTAGCAAATTACTTTTAAATATTATTTTTCATTAATGGCTTAATTACCATTATAAGCAGTATCAGAAGTAAAAATATTTTTTTTTTGCGTGAAGGTTGTGTAAGATATTTAGCATTGTGGCTTGAAATTTCTGAAAATTGCATTAGTTGGACTTTTCTGTTGTATAAGGTTAATTTATAAACTTAAGATAGGCTCTAAAACATGCAAGAGCTGTCTGGTTTAGTCTGGTTCGGTTTCTCGTCCTATGTTTTGGATTAAAAGTGTCGGACTTCTACTTCCTTCATTTTGAGTTGCTTGAATCTTCACTAATTCTATTTCGCGTTCTCAACCTTTCTTCTTCCATTTGTATTTTTTCCATTTCTTTTTTTCTCTTTCTATTCTCCACTGTAGTAATCAGAATTTCTTTCACGAAATCAGCATCTTCGATGTATTCCTTGCTATTCTGGAGTTTGTGTTTCAGTTCTACCAGCTTCAAATCTGGAGATGCTTCTGTGCCAATTTACTGTTACTAAATCCTCTTTCTTTGCGTTTTTAAACATTTTCTTTTATTTTCCTTTAGAATCAAGCTTTTTGAACTCGCAATTAAATAATTCTCGTGTTTTTACTCCCTTTTGCAAATGTGAACTTCTTTCATGACTTAGGCTTAACTTTACTCCTTTTCCGTTTTCAATGCTCTAAGCTTCTAACCTCTGGTGATCGCTCAGAGAGCACTTTGTAATGGCTTCGTGGTTCAATAAGGCACCATTTAACCCTTTGCGGCATGGTGGGTCAATATATGTCCCACCTAATTAATATTTATTTTCTCAGTTAGCAATTTCCGTTAGAAATTTTCTAATCTTTTAAAAATAATCTATTTTAGTTATTATTTTTCTCAGTAGATGTTACTACTATACTAGGGCTTAAGTTTATGAGCAAAAAATATTCAAAATAGGATCACAATAGTGATATCCATGTATCTCGCATTTTTCAATATTTTAAAAGATTTGGTATACAATTTATGATATGTATGATTCTTTTTAATATTCAAAAGTATTTTATTTTCAAAAATCTTAATTGGATTCAATATTTTATAACATTAATTTTGCAGTTGAAATAAGTGGGTTAAAATTTGTCGCACCACACACTTGAATTTCCGCTCAATAGATGGCAGCACCCGCGATTATTTTTTCTTTTCTTTTTTGCATCTATTTTTTTCGTGATTGCGCGCACTTTTACATCCGTTGTATGCTCTGATGTGCTAAAATGTCTAGAAAAAAATTAACAACTCAGGAAGCTTTGGATCTTTTTGCTGAATTGCCATCCGATTGCGACTCA